GATTCTACAAATTTCACTGAAGTAGGGATGATGGCAGGATGAATGTACATCAGACATATTTTGATGGAGTCATAAAGTTTAAATGCTTCTGATTTTAGATGAATGAGCTTTACAGAGTAATGCAGAGAAATGTATTTACTCACTTTTGTCCACATCCCATCACTCAGCTGAGCTGATTGCTTCCACCAAAATCATTGATGTCCTTTGAGCTTTTTTTCACACATCTTTTGTTTTCCTTATCAAACATTGCCTACATTTTGTTCTCATAAATAAATATATATATATATATATATATATATATATATATATATATATATAGGTTACAAGAAAGCATATATGTCTCAATGCTTCACTCATGGATCATTGAATGCTTGGAGATGTACAACATCAACAGGACTCTGAGAGCCTTCATTGAAAACTCAGTGGGGCTATGGAAAACCACCCTTGAGGCCAATTGCACAAGTCTGCATCAATTGTGGCATATATCAAGAAGACATCCTGTACCTACTGCTGGTCTGCATAGGTCTTAACGCCCTCAGCCAAATAATCAACAAGACTGGCTATGGGTACCGACTCAAGAATGGAACCACAATCAGCCACCTCCTCTACATGGATGACATAAAGCTCTATGCCAAGAGTGAGCAAAACATTGACTCACTGATCCACACCACCAGGATCTACAGCACTGATATTGAAAGGTCATTCAGACTTGAGAAGTGTGGTTGGATGGTTGACAAAGAAAGGAAAGGTAGTCCACACAGTAGAGGTCTCACTCCCAGAAGGAACAATAGCAAACATCGAGGACAGCTACAGGTACCTCGGTGTCCCACATGCAAATAGCAACCTTGAAGGAGCCACAACCAAATACCTACAATGAGTAAGTCAAGTCCTAAGAAATCAGCTCAATGGCAAGAACAAGATCTGGGCAATTAACAGCTACATCCTGCCAGTAATCAGGAATAAACTGGCCAAAGGAAGAAATACAGACCGCAGGTGTCAAGACACGGAAGCTCCTAACCATGCATGGAGGGTTCCATCCCAAATCCAGCACCCTGAGACTGCACAATAGCCGTAAGGAAGGAGGTCGAGGACTAGTGAGTTTGAGAGCCACTAACCAGGATGAAATGTCAAAGATCCATAAGTACATCAAGGACAAGGCCCCAACAGATCATGTTAGTGTCTCAGACAATGGCGAATAGAGGAGGAGAGGCTGGAAATACCATCGTGGGAGGACAAACACATGGGATGTATATTTATATGTCGATGGATGTACCACAGACAGATAGCTGAAGTGGTGGATATCAATAAATGGTACCAATGTCTAGAAAGAGCTGTTCTGAAGGACAGCACAGAGGCAATCATTATGGCTGTACCGAGGCCAAGATCTACCACACCAGACAAGAACCAAGGTGTAGGCTATGCAAAAGGGCCCCTGAGACAATCCACCACATAACTGCAGGGTGTAAGATGCTGGCAGGGAAATCAAACATGGAATGCCACAACCAAGTGAATGGCATCATGTACAGAAATATTTGGGCAGAGAATGGACTGGAAGCCCCAAGATCAAAGAGGGTAACATCCTGTAGCGTTACAGGTTGGCTAAGGTGGTTGAGAACAAGAGAGCCAAGCTCCTGTGGGATTTCCAGATCCAGATTGACAAAATGGTGATGGTGAACCAACCGGACGTTGAGGTGGTGGACAAACAACAGATGGCAGCTGTTCTGGTTGATTTGGCAATACCAAGTGATGGCAACATCAGGAAAAACCAAGCCCCCACAATGCGGCTCCAAAATTGAATCAAACCCAGAAATATCAAAAATTGCAGTTCCACCCTCATCCACTAGGGGGCTGGTGTCAGAAGCGAGCAAATCCTCATTGACTCCCATGTTAAAAATACCAATTTCACAGCAGAAATTAACATGTTTACAGCCTGGTACCAAAACATGTTTTTTGTTTAAATGATCTAGTTTACACTCATGACAACTCTGAGGGGGGTGAATTTTTTTCTCACTCTTCTGTTTAAGTGTATCAAAAGCCTAAATTTCTGTATAATTAATGAGCATCCGACCCACGTGACCACAGAGCTAGCTCCGTGGAAAGGCCTCAGTAGAGCCTCGGTCTGGCTTGGAAACTGTTCCAGGATTTTGAGTCTCTGTGTTTGTGTATTCTCGGGAGAACGATATTTTCCACCCGTTTCTCCTCTCCCCGCAGCTCGGCGCATCTCTGACTGATCGCGGCTTCTGTTTGATGTGCCGGGCTGCCGGCTGGGTCTCCCTGCAGCTCGACGCATCTCTGTCTGATCGCGGCTTCTGTTTGATGCGTGGGCTGCCAGCTTGTGGAGCTCTGGGATGGAAACCTTTCCACCCGGTTCTCCCCAGCGGCAGCTCTGCGCATCTCAGATCGCAACGGCGCTTGTCTGCTGTGCGGCTGCTGGCTTGTGGAGGTCTCGGAGACCTCTGTGTTCCACCTGGTTTTACCCAGCGATCAGCCCGGCGTATCTCTGACTCAGAAGCTCTGGTGTTGTGCACAGTTAACTCCGGTTGTAGCTAGGTTGCTACCTCCGTTAGCTTAGCTCCCACCTCCCCGTTAGCTTTGGGTTTGCCAGGGTTAGCTTCAGGTTAGCTTGTAGCTAGTTCGACCGGGTGTCATCAGTTGATCCCAGCCTTACAGCCCCACCCTCAGCTCCTCCTCTATTCCCTTTTGTGGAATTGTCTGGGCTTGACGGAATCTGTGACACGGTCACCTCCCATTTGGCCTCAAAAACGTGATATTGGAGCCTATGTAAAGGAGATGTCCAGTATATTTATGTTGATGGGAAAAACGAACATGAGAAACTAAAGAAGTACCAGGGCCTGAAAGAAGAACTTGAGAAAGCCTGGAGAGTGAAGACATCAGTGGTGCCCATGTGGTCATCGGGGCACTAACCCCCAAATGAGAGTGGTTAAAGCAGATCCCAGGAAAAACAGACATCTCAGTCCAGAAAAGTGCAGTTCTAGGAACAGATACTGCACAGAACCCTCAAGCTCCCAGGCTTCTGAGGGCCCAAGCTTGGAAGGATGAGACCACCCGAGGAGGGTGAGATGGGAATTTATTTTATATATATATATTTATGTATATTGCATGAGCCAACTATATCTCTTTGATTCCCCAAACTGTGCTCGTACTTACTGCATGTAAGATACATACTACTCATAAAAACTATTCCCTTTACTTTGCTGCTCTGGAACTTAATTAAAATGTCTCTCATATGGCCTCTTTGCAAGATTTTAATTAATCCCATTACTCCCTGATGTGTTATAAGTTTAATTAAAATCACCACAATTAGATTCAAATTCAGGTTGGGTTTAATCATTGCACGAATATATTATTAATTAGTAAAAATGAACAGATCACACGCTTTGTATCTTTGGACCTGGCTGAAGACAAATGATGTATTGATAACACTTGATGTTAAATCGAAGAATAGGCTCACACCATCATTAATACAAATGTAATGCATTACTCTTGAGGTTTAGAAAAGCCTGCTTGAAAAGCTTTTATGACACACAGAAAATGGACTTCCTGACCATCCATTATTTAGACTCTGACCTCAAACAACAAATGGAAAAGGATCATTGTGGTGTGAGAATAAAATTAGATTGAGATTAGTTGAACATTGTATACTTTTTTAAAATACCTCGTAGTTTCATTGGAGTGGGGTGATGTTTTAAAAGCAAATGAATTTGTGGGATACAAAATCGTTACTGCTTTGCAAATGGAACATTAAAAATTCCGTGCAGAATTATGTAAGCTTTAGTATCTTCAAATTATATACTGGTGAAGGGTTAGGGTCATCCAGGTCAGGTAATCGAAAGAGGTTTGAATAAAGGCAACTGGACTTCCTTGGTTTCTTGAAGAAGTTTTGCTTCTCATCTGAGGAGCTTTGTCATTTCTGACTGATTTATGGGAGAGGTTATAAATTGTAGCTGTCTATTGTTGCTTAAGGAGCAGAAACTACCTTTGAATACCCCTCCTCCCTACCCCCTGAGGAGTTGTTGTAGTCGTTAACCCCTATTGTGTGGTTGTTTTGATTAGATGCAGGAGGGCGTGAATCATGTGATACTGCTGGTTACATGATACTGCAGTGGTCAGTGTTTCCCCTAAATAGGCTCAGGCGTGGCACTGCGCCACAGCTATGAAATAGCCTGGTACCATTTTGAGAGATCAAAATGCACAATGTTCATCAATTGCAGACTGGGAAAATTATACAGTAAATAAACAAAACACCCATTAATATATTTGACCCAATGCAACCTCCACAGGAGGTTTTTTTTAATAGCAAATCCACATTTCTTAGGTATAAAATTCTGGGCTCACACCACAGATTGCAGGGTGCATCTGTGGATGCTGAACAAAAATGAATTTGCAGCTAGCACAACTACCTCCAGCAAGATGCCACTTGAGCCAACTTTCAGCTCTTGCTGTCTCGTTACAGAGAGAAAAGTGAGATGTCCTAATAAAGATGGAGGGTGGAGATACACCGACATGACATGTAATGGGTGTGGTAAGGGGTGAAAAGAGGATAGATAGAGGACAAAAACGATTAACCATTTTACCAAATAGTTCAAAAAGTTAAATGGACAAATGTTCACTAGAATAAAATGCAAGATTTTTATTTTATTAAGAGGGCACTTAGAGAACTTGTTGAAATGGGACATTGTATATTTTGAAATCAAAACTGAAATATTTTCTTTCTAATCTGATTTCATAATCCAGATTACAATTGAAGCAGCTGTTTTAATTTACCTATGAACATCACTTCCTACTTAAGAAACCAAATTGGGGCGTTTAAATTTGAGGGGGTAGCAAAATGCTCTTTGTGTTCCTAACCAACTAATTCGTGTTGCAAATGACAGCTTTTGTAATAAATGTATGAAAGCCAAAGTGTATAGTTGCATCTTGTCTAAAACATCCCAATCCTAGCGAGGGTGGTGTTCCGTCGCTGCTGCAGCGCGGGGTTTCCCAGCGCCGAGAGCAGGGTTACCGCGCCCATCTCGTCGTTCGATGGCCGCACATGAATCGTCAAACTCCGGGCAAGGCAAGTGTTAGACTCGGTTAAGGTGAAACTAAGTGTTCCTCGTCGATCAGGAGTAGCAGTGGCTTTTCAAGATTAGCCGTTTTGACTTAACAGTGCATTGTCATCAGCACAGGACTAGTGGGTGTGATTCCCCCTCCCTTCTCTGCCTTGGTTGTCAAGCTCCCCAGCCGTAGCCTGCGTTCAGGAAGGGCTGCTCCTCTGAAAACTGCGCTAGCTGGCTTTGCTAGTTAGTAAGCTAGCGTTGTGGTGTTCGTTGATGCGTGGATCGGAGGAATACATTGACTTGTTTTCCATTCAATGCCAAAACGTAAACTCAGGCGCAGATTGAATCGGGTAAGTTGAAGTAAAACGATGATGATGCTTATACATATTTTTATTGCGATTAATAACATCATTGGCTAATGAAATGTGATAGAATCTGACTGGCCGGGGGTGGGGTAGCATTAGTTAGCAATGGTTAGCTAACGCTGAGCTTGTTTTAATGTATGTAGACACAAGCTTAGGTATTGCAGCGTTAAGAAGGGAGAGGGAGAGAGATTTGGACTCGGTAATGTCAGTGGATGAGCAGATCGCTGTAAATTCTCGTGTAACTTGCATGAAGTCAGATAGGGTAGATTAACCACGTCCTAAGAGAACGATTCTGGATTTCGTTGAAAAAGAAAAGAGAAAACATAAAATGTTAGCCAGCCAGAATGCTGCCAGGGACGGCCCCTTAGGAGGTGCTTCGTGGCCTAAAAATACGGTTCTGTTAACCACTGGATAGTTACAAGTCACAAGAAATCGTTGTCAGTTGGGGGAATAATCCGATTAAAATGCGACAGCTTATTTAAGGGTGCAATGTACTCCCCGTAGAGGTTTGCTGTGTCTGAGCTGTGTTAGGCTGAAACGATAAACGTCCCGTAAACAAATTTACCAATACATGTTGGTGGATGACGATAGCAGATCATCTGGCATCACAAGTTCACTCTGCTTGTGTGTGTGTGTGTGTGTGTATATATATATATATATATATATATATATATATATATATATATATATATATATATATATATATATAAGGAACTTCATAGTGGGTGCGTTAACACCCTGTTTTTAACAAGCCCATAAATGCGTTAGCTTACTGCAGTTTTCCTGCAACCTAATGACCGTGCCGATTTAACGCCTTAACTTTTATGAGAAACAATTGGCATTCCCCGACTGTAAAAATGGATGCTAAAATGTCTCTCGCGTTATGAACAATCTCCAGGCTCTGCTTTTGCATTAGTTGCTTACAGAAATGAAACAGGCCATTACCGCCCGACCTTGCAGTTTTTTAATAAGCTCTACTCTATTACAACCAAGTAAATATACAGACACGCCGTATTGAAATCAGATGGGGACTGTAAGTCTTTAACGAGATTATTAGTATGTAAGTAAGTGGATTTATGTTGACGAGTAAACAAGACAGCTCCTAGGTTTATGCAGCACTGGCTCGCCTCACAAGCTAACTAGCTCTCCGTAGAAATTGCGGAAGAGCGGCGGGGTCCTCCCTGAAGTGGCTGTGGTTATTCTGCATTAGCTGATCGTGCTTTTTGTGTGTCTTTGTGCGATACAATTAGCTAACTCCGTCCAATGTTTCCGTCTACAAAATATTAACTCACAAGTTTTATAAAGAATAACGCTATTGTGTAATTTTATAATAAAAGATCAGCGCTGCCCTGCATACAGGCCTTCGTCGTCAAGTCTGTTAGCAAAGTTAGCTTAGCAGACGGCAGCAGTTTGCAAGATGGCGTTTAGCTGCATCTCAGATTTCCATCAGTGCAGTTCACATAATCACTCTTATGTACATTGTAAACTAAATATAAAAAGTGGCTTATATCCCTAACAGATTTATTCCTAATTCCTTTACTGTTTGTGTAGAATTCCTAAACAAACTAAAGGAAAACCATCCTGCAGCTATTCAAATCCAATGCAAACAATGTGATTTGTTTGTAACAGTGTTGTAGGCAAATCACAATGCTGCACACAACGTCTGCGTCAGCTCTGCTGCACAATGATTGTTGTTGTTGTTTAATTTGCACACTAAACACTTCTAAAATAGTTTTACTAGGTGTGTTCAAGCAGCTGATTTAAATGATAAAGAAGTAGCTTTTTTTATTTTACTACTAAATGTATCACCTTTTATGTAATTAAATTCATTTCATGTTAGCCATTGATTTTTTTGTTTTTGTCAGTTGTAACTAGAGCGAGAGATTGACCAGAATCCTGTCATCCTGATGATTTCTGAAACCACCTGCAGCTGGAAATCCAGGCACTTTCTCAAAGCAAGTGCCTGGATTTGTTGTTGTGTGCTTAAAATATAAAGATTAGATTCATCCTTTTTATAATTCTGAAAACATATTTCTAATGCCCGACTGGCTTTGCTTCTGTTTATGTTAGTGGACATGGATAGGGATTAGAGACTCACTCAATGACTGAGGATTTCAGCTTTTAGGATTATAGAGTTGCTCAGTGATAGTGCTAGTTATGGCTTTTTGTATGATCCAGCTTTGAACCTGTGAAACACAGAGTTATTATAGTTTAACAATACAGATAAGCTGCCTGGTTCCCTGTGAACAGATGCTAAGAGCATCATAGTCCATACAGGGTTCAGTAACTTACTTTCTAGCACTGCAATAGGATTTTTCCCCAAATTTACTTGAAAAGGAAGAAGCACTTTTAGTAGTAGGAGACAGATATTGCTCTTAATGGATTTGAAAACAGCTAGTGAGTTGGGACTCCAGGCTGTTTGCCACTGCTCATTGTTTATCATGCAGTCAGCTGACCATGATCAGGCGCTTCGAAAGGAGAAGTGATGAGAGAGAGGAACTACTTAACTGAAGGCATCCACAAACTGAAGGCATCCACATTCTTCAATAGGAAATATGTATTATTGTACACGGGGAATATGCCAAATGAAGATTTTAAACAGAACATCATAATCGAAAATACTCAGATTATTATTACCCACTGAAGTATGTATGGGTCATGGAGGAAAAAATAAAGAGAGAAAAAGTAGGTCCTTATTCCACCCACCTAAGAACATTCTTTTTTTTTAAGAGTTAATAATCTTTAAATCAATATAAGGGTGATAGAAACAAACAAGTTAAAGGTTGAATATGGAACATAAACACCAAAGTGACATCTAGTGTGTGGAGGTTGTAGTTGCAACAAAAGAACAAGGTTTCCAGCCGGCGGGGTAACAGGTTTGCTGCCGATACATGACATTTATTTGGTGCCATTTGTGGTTGGCTTCACTTAAACTCTCTCTGGTTTTAGATCTTATATGGTTGCATCTCTTCTGACAAGGATAACAATTGGGCCATTCCCATCTGTACCGGGTCGGCCCGGGCCGGGTAGCGTAGGTTGTTTACATATCTGGGTGGCCTGGTATTTTTCCGGGCCAACCAAGGCTCATTCTCAGCCCTCTTCTCGAAGGGGTCTGCTTCAGGCCGACCAGGGCCAACACACCCACTGCTGACAGCAAATTCACACCTTCCATTAGAGCAAGCCTCTGATTGGTGGGTAGAATCAGCCCACATGGGCTTAAGACAAGGATGTGTGGAATCAACCGGGCCAGGCTGGGGCCGACTGGGGCTACCCGGCCCGGGCTGACCCGGTACAGATGGGAATGGCCCTAATATGTTCTGGGCTCAGAAGAAGCTGCTTGACTTGCCAAGTCTGCCATTTTCTACAGGGCCAGGCTCGCTGTGCCAAGCGGACTGTTTTGCAACCCGCAATGGCGCCTTCTATTGGCTGGTAGATTTAAACGTAAAACCAGTGTTGTGCCTGTCAAAGTTAATATTTGATTATTTTTTAATCAAAATATAGCTTTCAAAGAAAATACGGTGTCTTCATTCTGCACACCTCTAAATGCCCCATGGAGGTATTATTTTAAAAAAATATTGCTTTTTATTATATTGTTCCAAAATCAACCTTTAACTCAAAATGTCTAAACAGCTGAGAGTCACAATAGAGAACATCACAGTTCATACAAGGTTAAATGAAAACAATGCATGTCTTTTATCATTTGTAACTTCTATAAAATTAGTTGAACAAGTTTGTTAATGTAAATAAAACCCATTTATTAAACTTGGATCAAATGTTTGAGCGAAATTTAGATGACCTACTTTAGATTTTAGCTATGTCTTTCAAGCTTCTCAAGGTGAAGATGGCATTGTGCATGATAATTAATAACCACATACCATGACACATTTATTATAAGATTAATGAGTTTAAGAAGATAATCTGTGTTGGAAAGGTCAACCCATCAGCAGATCTAAAAGGTGATGTAGGGAGGTAGAGAAGACTGTCAGTCTTGTCCTGCAGCCTCCAGCAACATACTGACTGTAATACACCAGGTAAGATGTCGGGAAAAGGTACAGTTAATTGGTACGTAGGGTTTTATCTTTTTTATAACTTTATGTTGCTGTTTTAATGCTTTAAAATTAGCCTTTAAACTCCCAAGAAGCCTATTCAGTTCATTTCAGGGTTGTTCTCTTTTAAAGGTCAGGAGGAAATTACTCTTTTAGAAAAAGTTTATTTGTTGTTGTTTCGTTTAATTTCGTTTGTTAAATTTAGTTTTTCCTGTCACACGCAGTCTGACATCCTAAATGATGTTGAATTTGTTTGTAATTGTAGGCCAGTGTTATTGTAGTATCAGTTTTCCCATCACAATCTACACGTCTCCCTTTGTAAATATATAACTGACATAAAATCATTTAAAATGTAGTTGTTGTTTTTTTGGCACTTTCAAAAAATGATGTAGCTGCCTGCCATGCTTCACTGTAAAACCTCCGAAAATATAGTTTTATGGCTGTAAATTATTTTTTTAGCTGCTGTATGCCACGATATTTTTTTTCAGAAATGCAACAAAAAATGGCTAACTTAACTATTCACAAAATGTTTACGGTATTTTTGGGAGATGGGACCAATTATGGTAATTGATTTGCTAATGAACTCAGTTGTAAATAAAGTCAAGTTTTTGTTCAAAAAGAATTTAAGAGCAAATTTCCACGAAAAGCTACGTAACTTAATTACATTGTGAACTTTATCCATTAATTACTTTGTCGAGGGTCTGCTGAAGTTATGTTAATTACGTCTGAACCCATCGTGTCTAGAATTTTAAACTCTATATATTTTATCAGCTCAACTTTGTGAGGGCCTATGAGCTCGGTTTACGAGTAAGTGGCTTATCAATCAGTTGGCGAAAATTCTGAGGATTGAGGTCAACGGGATAATGACAGCTTTTCGGATCACTGGAAAGTCACACCGTAAAGGGATTTGTCTGGCAATCTGAATTGTGTCAGCACACGCTACCATTAAGATGCAAATATAAAGTAAATTTGTATTTAATAATCATGTTTTTAACTCTTCTTTGGTTATGTTGGTTGTGTTTGGGCTGAGTTTAAATTCAGTATAAAAGTTGAGTTACTTTTCAAATGAAGCATACCTCCCTCCCTCTCGCTCTAGATCTACAAGTGCCCCAGTAGCTGGAGTAAGGTAATTAAAAAAGCAGAATCAAAATGAGTGAACTGGACCAGTTACGCCAAGAGGCAGAGCAGCTCAAGAATCAGATCAGAGTGAGTAAAGAGCAAATTTTCCATCTCCAGTTGTGTAAGATGATCTTCAGACAATGCCTAAGCTGTTAAAGTGACATAAAAGCCTGCATTAAAACGTTGAATTATCTCTTTTTATTGATTATTTCAGGATGCTAGAAAAGCATGTGCAGATGCCACACTATCACAGGTAACATTTAACTTCATTATCTTTGCATTTGGATTGAAAGTTGTTTGTGAACATGTTTTAAATTAATGCGTCATCTAAAATGAACCAAAGTGTGTAATGGTTTTGCAGATCACAGCCAATATTGACCCTGTTGGCCGAATCCAGATGCGTACAAGACGAACGCTGCGAGGTCATTTGGCTAAAATCTACGCCATGCACTGGGGAACAGATTCCAGGTAAAGTGATGCTTGATCTTTTGTAGTTTGTGTCCCTTAATTTAAATTTTTTTTGTGTGTGACAACTCTTAACAGTGCTGCTCCTTTCTTTAGGCTCTTGGTCAGCGCCTCTCAAGATGGCAAACTCATTATTTGGGATAGCTATACCACAAACAAGGTGAGTATTTTATCATGTAGCGGTTAACAATTTTGTCATAAAAATTTTACTTACAAGTTTGAGCTTAAAGAAAAATTTAAAGGCTTTACTTTTTTACAAAGATGATTCACCAAAAAGCAACATAATCTAAAAATTTGTTTCTTTTCACAATCTAAAGTTTAAATTTAGAGCCATAATTTAATTTTCTCAAATTACTGATCGATTTGCGTTCCCACCGTCATCCATGGTCACGAGTAGTGATAGAAAGAACAAGATCTCCATAAGTGGCTGAAATGAGTTTTCTTCGCTGGGTGACTGGACCTTAGAGATGAGGTGAGAAGCTCAGTCATCAGAGTAGATCCACTTCACCTCCATATCAAGAGCCAGTTGAGGTGGCTCGGGCATCTTGTTAGGATGCCACCCTAGTGAGGTTTTCTGGGCATGTCCAACCAGGAGGATACTTAAAGAAAGATCCAGGATACGATGGAGGGACTATTGGCGCATTCACATCTGGGTCAGTCTTGGGTTAGGTCGACCCGCCCCCACGTAGATGACGTGCAGAAAAGCCTGTGGTGTTCTCTTTAAATTAGTAACCAAAGATTTGTCGTGAACAGTGTTGCTTTCTGGCATGAAACACAACTTTCTACTGAGACTGCTGTGGGCGGCAGGTCCGAGCCACAGTCAGAGAAGATGTTCACCCCACTGCCTCCAGACTTATAACTGATCGCACATGTGGGAAGTCACTGCTAGTTGATGGTACCCGCCAGTCAGAGGCTTCCTCTAGTAGGTAGGCATAAACTTCAACCGGGCAATCAGTGGGTGTGTTGGGTCGGCTCCGCACCAAGCTGACCTACAGGGAGCAGGTTCGAAAAAAGCGGTCGACTGAGCAAGCATGAAAAAACACAATTACCCAGATGTGCACACAATTAATCTACCAGGGCTAGATCGGGCCGATCCAGCTGTGAATATGCCATGTGTTTCTCGTCTGGCCAGGGACCGTCTTAAGCCCAGCTTCTGCTTCTGCGTCGGAACTGAGACACGCAAATTATCCATAGTTGCAGGGGCTCTCCAACAAGCACACAAGGACGAACGGAGTTGAACTCCCTTTTCTAAACATCCATCAAATGACACGGAAACGCAAGCTTGTGATTGCCGCTTCCTTTAAATTGGTCAATAGCACTGCCATTGCCTCCTCAAAAATAAAGAGAGACGACAATATCCAGCAGTAGACATGAAGCAGCTTGAAGGAGACATTGTGGAAAAACACTAAAAATATGAAAGTTTTATTCACTCCTGGCTGGAAGAGTACAAAGATGCGCAGCAAGCGTTTTATTCGTGGATGGAAATCACGGGAAACGTGGGTTTAGAGGTGGTGAGCGCATTAAGAGATGGAGCAGATTGAGGGACAAATATGCCAAAAAATATCTGAAATACAAAAACCACAATATAAACACAATAGTAAATGCACTATCTTGGACTGAATACATGTCGGGATACCCCAGAAAACCGCTACGCCCTCTGTTGTCCTGGCAGGGAGTTGCTTTGCAACACTCCCCAGGTGACTGAGAAGTCCAAAGGAGGTCTCCGTCAATGCGTGTGCGTCTCTCCCTCATGGAGCTGACACAGAAGCATCAATTGGGCTTTGGGATTCGCCTAGAGGAGCTGGCCCAATTGGCTGGGTAGAATGAAGTCTGGGCCTCTGCTTACCCAACCCTGGATAAGCAGAGGAAGATTTTCTTATTTGGCCCAGTAATCTAACTCTTAATGTTACAAGTTTTTGGTGTTTTGGCATATTTGGCTCTCATTCATACAGGTGTTCAGGCCTTTCAGTATTTGCAATTGTAAAGACTTGGATCAGCCAAGTCTACAAGTTTGGTTCCGCTTGATTTTGACCATTCATAGCTGATCAGACTAGATGTAAACATGTAGGATCCTCGATAGTTTCATATTTCTCCAAACGTCCTCTGAGGGGTTTGTGCTTTTATTTGCTTTACTTACCAAAACAGCCCACTCTAGTTATTTGTGTAGCTTTTGGTTAATGTTTGCCTCAATGGCAAACATTTTGCCAAATTTCAGGTTAATGATATTTAAAAGAAAAAAGAAAAGACGATGGTTGCATCCATCTCTCCCTTAATTTTGACAATCTCCTTGTTACTGCTGAGGTGTGACCCACACCATGATGCTGCTGCCACCGTGCTTCACTACAGGTTTGATATCAGCAATTTATTAGGACTAAACAGTTCATCAGACAGGTCAGATTATCTGCTCAGATAAGTTCGAGTTAAGTTAGCTGGTGGTGGTCGGAGGGACTGGTGGCACCAGTGCTCGGCAGCCTCGCCTCTGTCAGTGGCAGCTGTGGCTACACTGTAACTCATCACCATCAGTGTGTGAATGTTAGGGCTGGGGGTAAACGATTATTTTTAAAACGATTATTCTGACGATTATTTTATCAAATAGTCGACTATTCTAATGACTATTTAGAAAATTAATCTAATGATTATTTTTCTATTGCACAATTAACAAAAACCAGAAAATCTCAAATAAATTCCTCAAAAAAATTGATAAATTCTTACTGTAAGAGAATAAACACTACAGGCCTTCCATTTTGTATAACACTGCGTTTATTGTGTTGGTTTTCTGGTGACGTGTAGAACCTGGGAGTGCAGGCTGCTGCCTGAGAGGTGGTAGAAGATGGAGTGTCTCCATGCTGCTTTGTTTTGGTCACTTATGTGCGTGAGGCGAGTGGTCTTACATTTTAAACTAGAAAAATTGCATTTATTGCACAAATGCTGTTTGAATGCTGGATAGCTGAAACTGTAAGCTGAAGCTGCTGAACAGCTGAACTGAAGCTGCTGAACAGCGTAACTGAAGCTGAAACAAAGCAAAACTGTCCAAATGAGCTGAATGTCTTGAAAGACGTAGAAGCAAAAAGCACCAACAAGCAAATAAAGCACAAAAAGTAAGTGAAGAATAGAGAAAAATAATGCTAAATAGCAAAAAAAAAAAAAAAAAACTTTAATCTGTGAACATTGTATAAAAATCTGGACAGCTTAAATGTCTAAACACCTGTTATATCAGTTGGACAAGTTTAACAGTTTAATCTTTACATTTAGCTGAACTGTGAAATTAGCAGTATATGCTAAATTTGCTAACTGATTGCTGAAGTTGTTGAATAGCTGAAGTAAGCTGAAACTAAGCTAAACTGTTAAATGAGCTGAATGTAGTGAAAGATGTGAAAGCAAAAAGCACAAAGAAGCAAAAAAGCACAAAAAGTAAGTGAAGAATCAAGAAAACTAATCCTAAATAGCAGAAAACTCAAATCTGTGAACACTGTTTAAAAAAATTGGACAGCTAAAATGTGTAAACACCTGTTATTTCAGTAGGACTAGTTTAACAGTTTAATTTTTACATTTAGCTGAACTGTGAAATTAGCAGTATATGCTAAATTTGGTAACTGATTGCTGAAGTTGTTGAATAGCTGAAGTAAGCTGAAACTAAGCTAAACTGTTAAATGAGCTGAATGTAGTGAAAGATGTGAAAGCAAAAAGCACAAAGAAGCAAAAAATCACAAAAAGTAAGTGAAGAATCAAGAAAACTAATTCTAAATAGCAGAAAACTCAAATCTGTGAACACTGTCTAAAAAAATTGGACAGGTAAAATGTCTAAACACCTGTTATTTTAGTAGGACTAGTTCAACAGTTAAATTTTTACATTTAGCTGAACTGTGAAATTAGCATCAAATGCTGAATTCAGAAACTAATTGCTGAAGCTGAAACTAAGCAAAACTGTTAAAATGAGCTGAATGT